TTATGGGTTGACAGGTGTATGGGTCTGGTTGGCAGTGCTGAGTATCAAACCTCTCAACCTCTTGGTGCCCTACACGGTGTCACAAAGTCTGACCCCCCCCCCAAACCATATTTTGAAAATAAAACATGCTTCAAATCCCTTTAAACTATTGTGCGTGCGTGTTTAATGTGTGACCTCACATTTATCACCCCCCAGGTGCGTGACGTCATTTATGGGCGGCCCCATAGACGCATAATTTCATGTTGCCCCTTTTGAAACGGCTTTATGCCGTATGGAACCTGAACTCAATTTTCTTGTCCAAGAATACGGGCGAAGCTTGATTTAAAGCAATCTAGATTTAAAGTTTTCGTGACTGCAGGAATCCATACTCTTTGGTTCTTTTGGTAAAGTCACGTAGGTAGAAAATACGGGTTGACAGGTGTATGGTCTGGGTGGCAGTGTTGAGTCTATACCCTACACTGAGTATGGGTAGCAGTGTTGAGTCTACAGTCTACATGGGTAGCAGTGTTGAGTCTACACTCAACACTGCCACCCATATAGACTCAGTGTTGGGTATAGACTCAATACTGCCACCCATATAGACTGTGTAGAGTGTAGACAACACTGCTATCCATACTCAGTGTAGTGTATAGACTCAACACTGCTACCCATGTAGACTGTAGAGTCTATACCCAACAGTCTATACACTACACTGAGTATGGGGTAGCAGTGTTGAGTCTATACACTACACTGAGTATGGGTAGCAGTGTTGAGTCTATACACTACACTGAGTCTACATGGGGGCTGGGTGGGGAGGGTGGGGTGGGGCTGGGTGGGTGGGGTAGGGCTGGGTGGGTGGGGTAGGGTGGGGAGGGGCTGGTCACCCCGTGGTGCCCTTATAAAACTCAACGTTTAACCTACTCACGCCGGCTTGTGCCCGCCCTCACAGTCGGGCATATTTGCGGAATACACCACGCCGCCGTTGACCCTGCAGGCCATTGACCGAGCAACCCAACGTTCCTACCAGCTCCCTCCGCAGGAATGTGTTTTAATGTTGCCCGTATTGAAACGGCTGTACGCTGTTTGGACATGAACGCAATTTTCCTGTCCCAAAAATGCGGGCTAAACCCGTACGGGGTTGACAGGTTTTGCTAATTTTTTTTGCGGAATAACTGCGCACCTGTGATTTAAAAACGCGTGGATTTTCCCCGCTAGGCATACAATTAATAAAGAAAATTTTGTAAAAAAAAAAACTGCTGCACATTTGTTATTTTTACAAAGTCTGACGTGTGTTTAAAACCGGAACCAATACGCTGCTTCGGTGAATCCGAAATCAAAGGCGATCGCCTCAACAGTTTACGGTAGAAATTTCGATGTAAAGCTTTCGTGACTGCAGGGATTCATCTTCTTGGTTCTTTCGGTAAAGTCATCACGTAGAATGGAAATAATATAAACAGGACCCTGCGGGGTGGGCTGGTAGGAACGAATAACCAAAGAATATAAACATAATGTATTATTACACTTGTTTAGCCAGGAAAGCCTCACTGAGTGTAAAGGTGTTTCTAGGGTCCTGCCAAGTGTTTGCAGTAGGGGGCGATGTTGCTGCACCTAATCGGACAATATGAAGGGAGAGTTTGAGGCCTAGTTCTAGGCTTTAGGCCTAGCTGTAGGCTTTAGGGCGCTGTGAGTTAATTTTTAATTTAAATGTTTTAATTAAAAAGTATCTCAGGGAATTAAAAAACTATCTCAGGGAATTATAAGGGAATGTTACACTTGTTTAGCCAGGAAAGCCTCACTGAGTCTAAAGGTTTTGTAGGGTCATGCCAAGTGTTTGCAGTAGGGGCGATGTTGCTACACCTAATCGGACATCGGACGGACGGACGATATAATCTATTGTAGGCTGGTTCACTTCGTTCCTATCAGTATACAAATTATTCTCACGTTTCGGCCACAACGCAAGCAGCCGTCCTCAGGTGAAGAACAGGTCTGTCGATAAGACAGAATCTGAATGACACGTCCTAGGCTTGTAGCGTGGTGTTGGACCAGATGACGCCAAAAGGCGCACAACTCAAAGACAATGCACCATCAGAGTATGAGAGCTCGGGGTGAAGTATTTACACCATTGGAACCTCATTTGCCAGTACCAAAATATGATAATTGGTGTTTTACCCTTCAATCTGAGACTAGGCTCTAAGGAAAGCTGTCTCGGATGTGGACCAATCAACTTCAAGGACTGCACATTATCAGAGTTATGTTTTTTGTTTGCATTATGGCTGCAGGTATTGTGGTCTATGCAAACATGATTCCTCGTGTAAAAAAGGTGTCAGTTTTGTTGCCAGATAAAAGGGGTAAAAAAACAATTATCACATTCGACTTTCGCGAGGTTTTTTGGATGGGGTCGATATAAACGTGTTTGTCGTTCAACCCTCTCGCCGCCCGGCACAGCCAGTTGGTAACAGTCTTTCACGTAAATAAAACACAAGCTGAAAAAATTGTGCCAGTTACCAGTCACAGCACTTGAACGGGTAACGAATTTACACCATTGGAAGCTCATTTGCCAGTAAAAAAATATGATAATTGTTTTTTAAATCCTTTATATTAAGTTCACTTGCTTGCTTGCTTAGGACCGTGCAAATCTTTCGGTCGTTTTTTAACCCACTTCCCGTGATCCAAACGAGCTGACATTTTGCACACAGACTCGTTGTGCGTGACAATTTATTTTTGTTAAATTTTTTTTTCCAAAATTTCACACTTGTTAGGATTTATTTACCAATTGCTTAATGGTGGCAGACAATCATCTGACCCATAGGTGGCAGCCATCTCAAGCCAGAGGACGAGAGGACTCTAGCCGCCACGCATATAAAGGATTTATAGTGAAAAACTTTGTTTTTACGGGTTATACTTATTTACCCTTCTATCTGGCAACAAAACTGAAACCAATTATCATATTTTTTACTGGCAAATCAGGTTCCAATGGTGTAAATGCTTCACCCCGAGCCAGTTACCAGCACTTTAACGAGTAACAAATCGTCAAAACATTCATGTTCACGTCATCTGACCCCCAAAAGAAACCCCTCCCGTCGTTGTCCACCCGTGACATTTCGCGAAACGTTCAGCGTCAGAACTCGTCCAGGTCACCGGCGGGGTGCGGCGGGCGCCTGCCCGGCTCATCGTGGCCGGCTCCAAGTTCCACGGGTCTCCCAGACAGCGGAATGTTACCTGCACAAGAATCCGGAGGTGGGCAGAGGTCGCAACCGAGTACCCGATACCCGTACCCTACCCGATACCCGGCTACCCGTACCCGGCCGGGTACGGGTAGGCCGTGAGTCACTGGTGAGTCACCGTGATTGTCACTCATTTTCTTAGGTTTTTTCGGTAAAGTCACGTAGGTAAAAAAAATTAAATTAATAAAAATAAAATAAAAATCACGACGTTTTTAAATTTTAATTTTATTTTAATTTTATTTTACTTTTATTAATTTTAATGTTTTACCTACGTGACTTTACCGAAAAAACCTAAGAATATGAATCCTTGCAGTCACGAAAGCTTCAAATCTAGAATGTCACTCATTTCCCAACGTCTTGTCTCTTCTCACAATTCAAGTTCCTAGAATCAACCCACCCGCGCCTGCAACATGGCTTCATCCCAGAGGTCGCAATCAGGTACCCGATACCCGTACCCTACCCGTACCCGGCCGGGTATCGGGTAGGGTACGGGTACGGCCGGGTACGGGTACCCGTTTGCGACCCTGGTGCGGCCGGGTACGGCTAAGGAATCAAAACCCGTTTGCGACCTCTGGTTGGTGGGTGAGTAAGTGGGTGCGTGGGTGCGTGGGTGAGTGCGTGGGTGGGTGAGTGAGTAGCTGAATTAGTGGGTGGGTGGGTGAGTGAGTGGGAGAGTTTGCAACCCTGGTGCGGCCGGGTACGGGTAGCCGGGTAGGCCGTGAGTCACTGGTGAGTCACCGTTTGTCACTCATTTCCCAACGTCTTGTCTCTTCTCACGATTCAAGTTCCTAGAATCAACCCACCCGCGCCTGCAACATGAATTCATCCCAGAGGTCGCAATCAGGTACTCGATACCCGTACCCTACCCGTACCTGGCCGGGTGGGGGATGGGGGGTGGGTGGGGGGGGGTGGGTCTGTGTCACCTGGGGGGTGGGGGGTGGGTGGGGGGGTGGATCTGTGTCACGTGGGGTGTGGGGGGTGGTGGTGGTGGATGTGTGTCACCTGGGGGGGCGACAAAGTAGTCGTCCTCTGTGTGACGAGCGTTCGCCATCACCTCGTCCACGTGACCTCCCTCCGTCACCTCGTCACTCCGCAGCCACAGACTCCTGGGGGTGGGGGGTGTGTGTGGGGTGTGTGTGGGGTGTGTGTGGGGTGTGTGCGGGGGGTGTGCGGGGGGTGGGGGTGTGGGGGAGGTGTGGGGTGGGTGGGGGGGTGGGGGGGGTGGGGGGGAGGTGTGTGTGTGGGGGGGGGGGTGGGGGGGAGGTGTGGGGGGGTGGGGGGGTGGGGTGTGTGTGTGTGGGGGGGGGGGGTGGGGGGGGGTGTGTGTGGGGGTTGTGGGGGGAGTGTGGGGGGTGTAGGGGGTGGGGTGTGTGTGGGGGGGGGTGTGGGGCATGTGTGGGGTGTGTGTGGGGGGTGTGTGTGGGGCGTGTGTGGGGGGTGTGTGGGGGGTGGGGGTGTGCGGGGGGTGGGGGTGTGGGGGAAGTGTGGGGTGGGTGGGGGGGTGGGGGGGGTGGGGGGGAGGTGTGTGTGTGGGGGGGGGGTGGGGGGAGGTGTGGGGGGGTGGGGGGGTGGGGTGTGTGTGTGTGGGGGGGGGGGTGGGGGGGGGTGTGTGGGGGAGGTGTGTGTGGGGGTTGTGGGGGGAGTGTGGGGGGTGTAGGGGGTGGGGTGTGTGTGGGGGGGGGGTGTGGGGCGTGTGTGGGGTGTGTGTGGGGGGTGTGTGTGGGGCGTGTGTGGGGGGTGTGTGGGGGGTGGGGGTGTGGGGGAGGTGTGGAGTGTGGGGGAGGTGTGGGGTGGGTGGGGGGGGTGGGGGGGAGGTGTGTGTGTGGGGGGGGGGGTGGGGGGGAGGTGTGGGGGGGTGGGGTGTGTGTGTGTGGGGGGGGGTGTGTGGGGAGGTGTGTGTGGGGGTTGTGGGGGGAGTGTGTAGGGGGTGTAGGGGGTGGGGTGTGTGTGGGGGGGGGGTGTGGGGCGTGTGTGGGGGGTGTGTGTGGGGTGTGTGTGGGGTGTGTGTGGGGGGTGTGTGGGGGGTGTGTGGGGGGTGGGGGGGATGGAATAAAAACGAGTGGAGTGGTTACAGCGGCTCCTGCATGTGCGACCACAGTGGGGGGGGGGGGGAGGGTGAGTGAGTGAAGGAATAACGAGTGAGTGGGTGAGTGAAGGAATCACGAGTGAGTGAGTGAGTGAAGGAATCACGAGTGAGTGGGTGAGTGAGTGAAGGAATGAGCTGGTGAGTGAGTGAAGGAATGAGTTGGTGAGTGAGTGAAGGAATGAGCTGGTGAGTGGGTGAGTGAGTGAAGGAATGAGCTGGTGAGTGAGTGAAGGAATGAGCTGGTGAGTGGGTGAGTGAGTGAAGGAATGAGTTGGTGAGTGAGTGAAGGAATGAGCTGGTGAGTGGGTGAGTGAGTGAAGGAATGAGCTGGTGAGTGAGTGAAGGAATGAGCTGGTGAGTGGGTGAGTGAGTGAAGGAATGAGCTGGTGAGTGAGTGAAGGAATGAGTGAGTGAGTGAGTGAGTGAAGGAATGAGTTGGTGAGTGAGTGAAGGAATGAGCTGGTGAGTGGGTGAGTGAGTGAAGGAATGAGTGAGTGAGTGAGTGAGTGAAGGAATGAGTTGGTGAGTGAGTGAAGGAATGAGCTGGTGAGTGGGTGAGTGAGTGAAGGAATGAGTTGGTGAGTGAGTGAAGGAATGAGCTGGTGAGTGAGTGAAGGAATGAGTGAGTGAGTGAGTGAAGGAATGAGTTGGTGAGTGAGTGAAGGAATGAGCTGGTGAGTGGGTGAGTGAGTGAAGGAATGAGTTGGTGAGTGAGTGAAGGAATGAGCTGGTGAGTGGGTGAGTGAGTGAAGGAATGAGCTGGTGAGTGAGTGAAGGAATGAGCTGGTGAGTGGGTGAGTGAGTGAAGGAATGAGCTGGTGAGTGAGTGAAGGAATGAGTGAGTGAGTGAGTGAGTGAAGGAATGAGTTGGTGAGTGAGTGAAGGAATGAGCTGGTGAGTGGGTGAGTGAGTGAAGGAATGAGTTGGTGAGTGAGTGAAGGAATGAGCTGGTGAGTGGGTGAGTGAGTGAAGGAATGAGCGAGTGAGTGAGTGAAGGAATGAGTGAGTGGGTGAGTGAGTGAAGGAATGAGCTGGTGAGTGAAGGAATGAGTGAGTGAGTGGGTGAGTGAAGGAATGAGTGAGTGAAGGAATGAGTTGGTGAGTGAGTGAAGGAATGAGCTAGTGAGTGGGTGAGTGAGTGAAGGAATGAGCTGGTGAGTGAGTGAAGGAATGAGTGAGTGAGTGGGTGAGTGAGTGAAGGAATGAGTGAGTGGGTGAAGGAATGAGTTGGTGAGTGAGTGAAGGAATGAGCTGGTGAGTGAGTGAGTGAGTGAGTGAAGGAATAACGAGTGAGTGGGTGAGTGAGTGAAGGAATGAGCTGGTGAGTGAGTGAGTGAGTGAAGGAATGAGTTGGTGAGTGAGTGAAGGAATGAGCTGGTGAGTGAAGGAATGAGTGAGTGGGTGAGTGAGTGAAGGAATGAGCTGGTGAGTGAGTGAGTGAGTGAAGGAATGAGTGAGTGGGTGAATGAGTGAGTGAGTGAAGGAATAAGGAGTGAGTGGGTGAATGAGTGAGTGAGTGAAGGAATGAGTGAGTGGGTGAGTGAGTGAGTGAGTGAAGGAATGAGCTGGTGAGTGAGTGAGTGAGTGAAGGAATGAGTTGGTGAGTGAGTGAAGGAATGAGCTGGTGAGTGAGTGAGTGAAGGAATGAGTGAGTGGGTGAATGAGTGAGTGAGTGAAGGAATGAGTGAGTGGGTGAGTGAGTGAAGGAATGAGTTGGTGAGTGAGTGAAGGAATGAGTGAGTGGGTGAGTGAGTGAAGGAATGAGTTGGTGAGTGAGTGAAGGAATGAGCTGGTGAGTGGGTGAGTGAGTGAAGGAATGAGTGAGTGGGTGAATGAGTGAGTGAGTGAAGGAATGAGTGAGTGGGTGAATGAGTGAGTGAGTGAAGGAATGAGCTGGTGAGTGAGTGAGTGAGTGAAGGAATGAGTTGGTGAGTGAGTGAAGGAATGAGCTGGTGAGTGAGTGAGTGAGTGAAGGAATGAGTGAGTGGGTGAATGAGTGAGTGAGTGAAGGAATGAGTGAGTGGGTGAGTGAGTGAAGGAATGAGTTGGTGAGTGAGTGAAGGAATGAGTGAGTGAGTGAAGGAATGAGTTGGTGAGTGAGTGAAGGAATGAGCTGGTGAGTGGGTGAGTGAGTGAAGGAATGAGCTGGTGAGTGGGTGAGTGATTGAAGGAATGAGTGAGTGGGTGAGTGGGTGAGTGAGTGAGTGAGTGGGTGAGTGTGAGTGCTAGGTGAGTGCAAGGTGAGTGAGGGGTGAGCGCTCACCTGCCCAGGTGAGCACCGCTCACCATGGGGCTCACCGCGTGGGTGAGTGGTGGGTGAGTGAAAGTGAGTGCTAGGTGAGTGGTGAGTGTGAGGGTGAGTGCTAGGTGAGTGAGTGTGAGTGCTAGGTGAGTGCTAGGTGAGTGCTAGGTGAGTGAGTGCTAGGTGAGTGAGTGTGAGTGCTAGGTGAGTGTGAGGGTGAGTGCTAGGTGAGTGTGAGGGTGAGTGCTAGGTGAGTGTGAGGGTGAGTGCTAGGTGAGTGAGTGTGAGTGCTAGGTGAGTGAGTGTGAGTGCTAGGTGAGTGTGAGGGTGAGTGCTAGGTGAGTGTGAGGGTGAGTGCTAGGTGAGTGTGAGTGTGAGTGCTAGGTGAGTGCTAGGTGAGTGCTAGGTGAGTGAGTGTGAGTGCTAGGTGAGTGTGAGGGTGAGTGCTAGGTGAGTGTGAGGGTGAGTGCTAGGTGAGTGTGAGGGTGAGTGCTAGGTGAGTGTGAGGGTGAGTGAGGGGTGAGCACTCACCTGCCCTGGTGAGCACTGCTCACCATGGGGCTCACCGCGTGGGTGAGTGGTGGGTGAGTGAGGGTGAGTGCTAGGTGAGTGGTGAGTGTGAGGGTGAGTGCTAGATGAGTGGTGAGTGTGAGTGCTAGGTGAGTGCTAGGTGAGTGAGTGCTAGTTGAGTGAGTGAGTGCTAGGTGAGTACTAGGTGAGTGTGAGCATCACTCACCTGCCCTGGTGAGCGCCACTCACCATGGCGCTCACCGCGTGAGTGAGTGCTAGGTGAGTGAGGGTGAGTGTGAGTGTGAGTGCTAGGTGAGTGAGGGTGAGTGAGGGGTGAGCACTCACCTGCCCTGGTGAGCGCCACTCACCATGGCGCTCACCGCGTGGGTGAGTGGTGGGTGTGCGTGCTAGGTGAGTGAGGGTGAGTGGTGGGTGAGTGAGGGTGAGTGCTAGGTGAGTGCTAGGTGAGTGAGTGCTAGGTGAGTGAGGGGTGAGCACTCACCTGCCCCGGTGAGCGCCACTCACCATGGCGCTCACCGCGTGGGTGAGTGGTGGGTGTGCGTGCTAGGTGAGTGAGGGTGAGTGGTGGGTGAGTGAGGGTGAGTGCTAGGTGAGTGCTAGGTGAGTGAGTGCTAGGTGAGTGAGGGGTGAGCACTCACCTTCCCCGGTGAGCGCCACTCACCATGGCGCTCACCGCGTGGGTGAGTGGTGGGTGTGCGTGCTAGGTGAGTGAGGGTGAGTGGTGGGTGAGTGAGGGTGAGTGCTAGGTGAGTGCTAGGTGAGTGAGTGCTAGGTGAGTGAGGGGTGAGCACTCACCTGCCCCGGTGAGCGCCACTCACCATGGCGCTCACCGCGTGGGTGAGTGGTGGGTGTGCGTGCTAGGTGAGTGAGGGTGAGTGGTGGGTGAGTGAGGGTGAGTGCTAGGTGAGTGCTAGGTGAGTGAGTGCTAGGTGAGTGAGGGGTGACCACTCACCTGCCCCGGTGAGCGCCACTCACCATGGCGCTCACCGCGTGGGTGAGTGGTGGGTGTGCGTGCTAGGTGAGTGAGGGTGAGTGGTGGGTGAGTGAGGGTGAGTGCTAGGTGAGTGCTAGGTGAGTGAGTGCTAGGTGAGTGAGGGGTGACCACTCACCTGCCCCGGTGAGCGCCACTCACCATGGCGCTCACCGCGTGGGTGTCCACGTCCTGCAGCCGCTGGGCGAAGCTCACGGCGTCCGCCAGGCGACGGGAGGCTTCACGGCTGCCAAACGCCACTAGGCCCTGGTGCTCCAGGTGGCCCAGCAGGTCTACCTCCACCTGGGGAGGGGGGGAGGGGGGGGACAGGGGGGGAGGGGGGGGGAGGGGGTGGGGGGGGGAGAGGGGGGACAGGGGGGGAGGGGGGGGGGAGGGGGTGGGGGGGGGGAGAGGGGGAGGAGAGGAGGGGGAGGGGGGGGAAAAGAAGGAGGGGGAGAGGGGGGGAAGGAGACGGGGGGAGGGTGAGGAGGGGGAGGAGAGAGGGGAGAGGAGGGTGGGGGAGGGGTGTGGGGGAGGGGGAGAGGAGAGAGAGAGGGGGGGGAGAAGGGGGGGAGGAGCGGGGGGGGGGGGGGAGAGGAGGGGGGGGGTGACCGTGGGTGTGTGTAGGGGGAGGGAGGGGTCACCTTCACGGCAGGTCAAAGGGTCACGGTGCCCACCTCAAGTTCCACACACCCCCGCCCCACCCCCCCCCCCCCCCCCCCCCCCACTCACCCCCCCCCGCCCCCCCCCCCCCACACCCCCCCCCGCTCCCCCCCTCCTCACCTCGGGACATGGAGGCTCCTCGGCAGGCTGCCAAGTTGGCTGTTGGGGAACCTGCCCACGCAGAGAGACGGCACCACACAGCCACCGTCACCCACTCGCTCGCCCGCTCACTCACTTACTCACTCACTTACTCACTCGCACGCTCACCCACTCACTCACTCGCTCGCTCGCACACTCACTCACTCGCTCACTCACCCACTCACTCACCCACTCACTCACTCACTCACTTGCTCATTCACCCACTCACTCACCCACTCGCCCACTCCATTACCCACTCACCCACTCGCTCACCCACTCATTCACCCGCTCACTCACCCGCTCACTCACTTACTCGCTTACTCACCCACTCACTCACTCATTCACTCACTCACTCACCCACTCACTCACTCACTCACCCACTCACTCGCTCGCCCACTCACCCACTCACTCACTCACCCACTCACTCGCTCATTCACCCACTCACCCACTCACTCACCCACTCACTCACCCGCTCGCTCGCCCACTCGCTCACTTACTTACTCACTCACCCACTCACTCACTCACCCACCCACTCACTCACTCACTCACCCACCCACTCACTCACACACCCGCTCACTCACCCACTCACTCACACACCCGCTCACTCACCCACTCACTCACCCACTCGCCCACTCACTCGCTCACCCACTCGCTCACCCACTCGCTCACCCACTCGCTCGCTCAGCTCGCTTGCCTTGCAGGTGGAGCTGTGTTGGCAGCGATGAGGTGCGGAGGTGAGGAGGGGAGTGAGCCCAGTCCTCCCTGCCAAGACGCAGCAATGGGTCTCAAGATTCATTCACAAGAGAGAGAAACCCACAGACTCACACAGAGACCCACAGACTCACACAGAGACACATAGACTCACACAGAGACCCATAGACTCACACAGAGACCCACAGACTCACACAGAGATACATAGAGTCACACAGAGACCCATAGACTCACACAGAGACCCATAGACTCACACAGAGACCCATAGAGTCATACAGAGATACATAGAGTCACACAGAGACCCATAGACTCACAGAGACCCATACACCCATAGAGTCACACAGAGACCCATAGACTCACAGAGACCCATAGACTTACAGAGACCCATAGACTCACACAGAGACCCATAGACTCACACAGAGACCCATAGACTCACACAGAGACCCACAGACTCACAGAGACCCATTGACACACACAGAGACCCACAGACTCACACAGAGACCCACAGACTCACACAGAGACCCACAGACTCACACAGAGACCCACAGACTCACACAGAGACCCACAGACTCACACAGAGACCCACAGACTCACACAGAGACCCACAGACTCACACAGAGACCCACAGACTCACACAGAGACCCACAGACTCACACAGAGACACATAGACTCACACAGAGACCCATAGACTCACACAGAGACCCATAGACTCACACAGAGACCCATAGACTCACACAGAGACCCATAGAGTCACACAGAGATACATAGAGTCACACAGAGACCCATAGACTCACAGAGACCCATACACCCATAGAGTCACACAGAGACCCATAGACTCACAGAGACCCATAGAGTCACACAGAGACCCACAGACTCACACAGAGACCCACAGACTCACACAGAAACCCACAGACTCACACAGAGACCCACAGACTCACACAGAGACCCACAGACTCACACAGAGACCCACAGACTCACACAGAGACCCATAGACTCACACAGAGACCCATAGACTCACACAGAAACCCATAGACTCACACAGAGACCCACAGACTCACACAGAGACCCACAGACTCACACAGAGACCCATAGACTCACAGAGACCCATAGAGTCACACAGAGACACATAGAGTCACACAGAGACCCATAGACTCACACAGAGACCCACAGACTCGCAGAGACCCATTGACACACACAGAGACCCATAGAGTCACACAGAGACCCATAGACTCACACAGAGACCCACAGACTCACAGAGACCCATTGACACACACAGAGACCCATAGAGTCACACAGAGACCCATAGACTCACACAGAGACCCACAGACTCGCAGAGACCCATTGACACACACAGAGACCCATAGAGTCACACAGAGACCCATAGACTCACACAGAGACCCACAGACTCACAGAGACCCATTGACACACACAGAGACCCATAGAGTCACACAGAGACCCATAGACTCACACAGAGACCCACAGACTCACATTGACCCATTGACACACACAGAGACCCATAGAGTCACACAGAGACCCATAGACTCACACAGAGACACACAGACTCATAGAGACCCATAGACTCACAGAGACCCATAGACTCACAGAGACCCATAGAGTCACACAGAGACACACAGAGTCACACAGAGACCCATAGACTCATACAGAGACACACAGACTCACAGAGACCCATAGACTCACAGAGACCCATAGACTCACAGAGACCCATAGACTCACACAGAGACCCATATATTCACACAGAGACCCATAGACTCACACAGAGACACATAGACTCACAGAGACCCATAGACTCACACAGAGACCCATAGACTCACACAGAGACCCATAGAGTCACACAGAGACCCAAAGACTCACAGAGACCCATAGACTCACACAGAGACCCACAGACTCACACAGAGACCCACAGACTCACAGAGACCCATTGACACACACAGAGACCCATAGAGTCACACAGAGACCCATAGACTCACACAGAGACCCACAGACTCACAGAGACCCATTGACACACACAGAGACCCATAGAGTCACACAGAGACCCATAGACTCACACAGAGACACACAGACTCACAGAGACCCATAGACTCACAGAGACCCATAGACTCACAGAGACCCATAGAGTCACACAGAGACCCATAGTCACACAGAGACCCAAAGACTCACACAGAGACCCATAGACTCACACAGAGACCCATAGACTCACACAGAGACCCATAGACACACAGAGACCCATAGACTCACAGAGATCCATAGACTCACAGAGATCCATAGACTCACACAGAGACCCATAGACTCACACAGAGACCCATTGACACACACAGAGACCCATAGAGTCACACAGAGACCCATAGACTCACACAGAGACACATAGACTCACACAGAGAACCATAGAGTGAGTGAGTCGGTGGGTGAGTGGATGAGTGAGTGGATGGGTGAGTGGGTAGATGAGTGAGTGAGTGGGCGAGTGCATGGGTGACTAAGTGGTTGGGTGAGTGAGTGGATGGGTGAGTGAGTGGATGGGTAGGTGAGTGGCTGGATGAGTGAGTGGGTGAGTGGATGAGTGAGTGGATCGGTGAGTGGATGGGTGAGTGGGTGGGTGAGTGGTTGGATGAGTGGGTGAGTGGCTGCATGAGTGAGTGGGTGAGTGAGTGAGTCGGTGGGTGAGTGGATGAGTGAGTGGATCGGTGAGTGGATGGGTGAATGGGTGAGTGAGTGGGTGAGTGGATGAGTGAGTGGGTGAGTGGATGAGTGAGTGGGTGAGTGGATGAGTGAGTGGGTGGGTTGAGTAGGTGGATCGGTGAGTGGATGAGTGAGTGGATGAGTGAGTGGATCGGTAAGTGAGTGGGCGAGTGGTTGGATGAGTGGGTGAGTGGCTGCATGAGTGAGTGGGTGGGTTGAGTGGGTGAGTGAGTGGATGGATAAGTGAGTGGATGGGTAAATGAATGAATGAGTAGGTGAGTGAGTGACAGGGTGAGTGAGTGGGTGGATGAGTGAGTGGGTAAGTGAGTGACAGAGTGAGTAGGTTGGTGAGTGGGTTGGCGAGTGAATGGGTGAGTGGGTGGGTGAGCGAGTGGGTTGGTGGATGGGCAGGTGAACGAGTGGGTTGGTGAGTGGGTAGGTGAGTGGGTAGGTGAGTGGGTAGGTGAGCGAGTCGGTTGGTGAGCGAGTGGGTTGGTGAGTGGGTGAGTGAGTGGGTGAGTGAGTGGAGTGAGTGGGTGAGTGTGTGAGTGAGTGTGTGAGTGGGTGAGTGGATTGAGTGAGTGTGTAAGTGAGTGGGTGAGTGTGTGAGCGAGTGGGTTGGTGAGTGTGTGAATGAGTGTGTGAGTGAGTGGGCAGGTGAGCGAGTGGGTTGGTGAGTGGGTTGGTGGGTGGGTAGGTGAGTGGGTTGGTGAGTGGGCAGGTGAGCGAGTGGGTTGGTGAGTGGGTTGGTGAGTGGGTAGGTGAGCGAGTCGGTTGGTGAGCGAGTGGGTGAGTGTGTGAGTGGAGTGAGTGAGTGGGTTGGTGAGTGTGTGAGTGAGTGGGTGAGTGTGTGAGTGAGTGGGTTGGTGAGTGGGTTGGTGAGTGGGTTGGTGAGTGGGCAGGTGAGCGAGTGGGTTGGTGAGTGAGTAGGTGAGTGGGCAGGTGAGCGAGTGGGTTGGTGAGTGAGTAGGTGAGTGGGCAGGTGAGCGAGTGGGTTGGTGAGTGAGTAGGTGAGTGGTCAGGTGAGCGAGTGGGTTGGTGAGTGAGTAGGTGAGTGGGCAGGTGAGCGAGTGGGTTGGTGAGTGAGTAGGTGAGTGGGCAGGTGAGCGAGTGGGTTGGTGAGTGAGTAGGTGAGTGGGCAGGTGAGCGAGTGGGTTGGTGAGTGAGTAGGTGAGTGGTCAGGTGAGCGAGTGGGTTGGTGAGTGAGTAGGTGAGTGGGCAGGTGAGCGAGTGGGTTGGTGAGTGAGTAGGTGAGTGGGCAGGTGAGCGAGTGGGTTGGTGAGTGAGTAGGTGAGTGGGCAGGTGAGCGAGTGGGTTGGTGAGTGAGTAGGTGAGTGGGCAGGTGAGCGAGTGGGTTGGTGAGTGAGTAGGTGAGTGGGCAGGTGAGCGAGTGGGTTGGTGAGTGAGTAGGTGAGTGGGCAGGTGAGCGAGTGGGTTGGTGAGTTTGTGAGTGAGTGTGTGAGTGAGTGAGTGTGTGAGTGAGTGAGTGTGTGAGTGTGTGAGTGAGTGGGTAAGTGTGTGAGTGAGTGTGTGAGTGAGTGGGTGAGTGTGTGAGTGAGTGAGTGGACTGAGTGAGTGAGTGGGTAAGTGTGTGAGTGAGTGAGTGTGTGAGTGAGTGTGTGAGTGGGTAAGTGTGTGAGTGAGTGTGTGAGTGAGTGGGTGAGTGTGTGAGCGAGTGTGTGTGTGAGTGGATTGGTGAGTGGGTAGGTGAGCGAGTGGGCAGGTGACCGAGTACAGCTGACAGCAGCTACAGCAGTGTGACGGTGGCAGTGCGGTGCAACTTCCCCGCGCGCCTTTCAATCGGTGAGCAAAACCCTCACCTGGAAGTGCCCGGCGCCTCACCACTGCACTCACCATCCCCACGAGTGACATCGTCACCTGTGGGAGACATCCATTCTAAGATTGCACCTCCAGAATCTGGTCGCGTATACGCTACTATACACTACTATACACTACACACTACTATACACTATACACTACTATACACTACACTACCATACACTACACTATACACTACACTATACACTACACTACTATACACTACACTATACACTACTATACTACACAGCACTACACTATACACAGCACTACACTATACACTACTATACACTATACACTACTATACACTATACACTACTATACACTATACACTACTATACACTACTATACACTACACTACTATACACTACTACACTACTATACGCTACTATACACAACACTACACAACACTACACTACTATACAGTACTACACTATACACTACTATACAGTACTACACTATACACTACTATACACTACACTACTATACACTACACTACTATACACTACTACACTATACACTACTATACACTATACACCACTACACTATACACCACTACACTATACACCACTACACTATACACTACTATACACAATACTACACTATACACTACTATACACAATACTACACTATACACTACTACACTATACACTACTACACTACTATACACTACTACACTACACACTACTATACACTACTACACTACACACTACTATACACAATACTACACTATACACTACTATACACAATACTACACTATACACTACTACACTATACACTACTATACACTATACACTACTACACTATACACTACTATACACAATACTACACTATACACTACTATACACTATACACTACTACACTATACACTACTATACACAATACTACACTATACACTACTACACACTACTACACTATACACTACTATACACTACTACACTATACACTACTACACTATACACTACTACACTATACACTACTATACACAATACTACACTATACACTACTATACACTACTACACTATACACTACTACACTATACACTACTATACACTACTACACTATACACTACTACACTATACAATACTACACTATACACTACTATACTATACACTACTACACTATACACTGTACACTACTACACATCACACGCCACTACAGCACCACTACACTACAACAGCCCACAGCGACACCGGGAAAATGTCAAAACTGGGTGGTTTTTAACTTTTGCCGACAAAACTGGATCCCAAATGTCAAAACTGGGTGCACCCTGGGTGGCCAAAAACTTGAGTTTTGGACACTCAGGGTGCACCCAGTTTTGACATTTGTCAAATACACTTGATAATTGTATACTAGCACAGTGTGCCAGCACCCCATTCATCCAAACACTTGGTATTTGTATACTCGCACACTGTGCCAGCACCCCATTCATCTAAACACTTGGTATTAGTATGCTGGCACAGTGTGCCAGCACCATATAACTACACACACTTGATATTTGTACGCTGGCACAGTGTGCCAGCACCCCAACGACCAACATTTCAAGCTACGGCTCGGACTCGGAAGTGAGTTTGGGGCGGGCTTGCGACCAGGCGGGCGCACTGCCACCTTGCGTGATGACCTAGACTAGTGACTCGCGTCAATACCAAACTTTTGTATTGTTGGTTGATGCTACGCGCTACTGTACACCCTTAAATTTGCCATGCATTCGACCATAGCCCGCCAAACGACCAAGCACAGAGACAAAGGCGACGTCCTTGGGAGATGGACCAGCCTGCTTGACGCTCCTGACCATGGTCCCAATGGTGCGGAACCAACCAACGAATGCGCATCTCGTTGATTGGTCAATCCTTTGGCCCACCGTTACGGTGATTGGCGGAAATATTGTGTGAAAAATCAAATTGCTGGCAATGAAAATAGACATTGTCTCGTGAAAAATTGAAAGTAGACGTAGAAACGTGATTTTTCACAAGCATTTTTCACGAAACAGGTGGAGGAGCGGCTCACATTCGAATGGCAACCCTCCACCCCAAGAAGACTTTTACCACGCGCCGCGAGGCCATCCACGGCATCCAAGACTTTGCTTTGCAACAAGGCAAGCGCGCGGTCCTTGACCTCAAGCGAAGCGGCGGACGGCACGTTGCCATCGTCTGCTCTAGTTCAACACCTTGTTCCTTCAAGGTGAAGCTGACGAAGCTCACGGGGGAACGACGCGGCTTCCGCGTCTCGGCGCTGTGCACGGATCACCACGGCTGCACGGGCACTACCAAGATCACGCAGCGCCAAGTGGAGGCGAACACGACAGCCCGTTCGGCCTTTCGCGCCAACCCCCGTACCTCCGCACCGACTGTCATTGCCCAGGTCGCCGACGTTGCTCGCGTCATTGTCCCGACCCGGATGATGTACCGCGCCAAGGACACGTGCATCGCGGCGAACGAGAGTGCGGCCCATGCAGGCTTCGAGTTCATCAACTCGCTGGTGGAGACGTTCGGCAAGCTCAAAGCGACGACCTGCAGTGTGCGAGAAGACGCGGGCATCTTCTGGGGTGCGTTCATCTGCAACCCGATCGCACGCTCGTTGCAGCCAAGTCTTCAACGCGTCGTCGGCATCGACGGGTCGCACATGAAGGCGCGCGCCTACAACGGAACCATGCTTGTCCTCGTTGGGCGCGACGGCAACAACCGCAACGTCCTTCTCGCCGTGGCGCTGGTGCCGTCCGAGACGGCAGCGGCCTACGACTGGTTTCTCAACTGCTGCACGACCAACGACATCGAGCTCGACGGCACGCCGGTCTTCTGCGATCGTGGCACGGGCATCCTAGCCTCCGACTGGAAGGACCTCATGCTCATCCACTGCACGCGGCATTTGATCTGCAACGGCGTGGACAACATCGGCTCCGCGTTCACGCCCGACCTCCAAGGCATCATCTACGATGCCCAAGGGTGCGCCTCCGAGGCCGCGTTCCGCAGCTCCTTGGGCTGCTTGGGCGTAGCTCTGCCTGCGGCGGCCACGTACTACAACAAGATCGACCCCCACACGTGGGCGCTCTACCCGCACCTGCACACGACGCCATTGTACGGCTGGCGCACGACGAACTTTGTGGAGTCCACGAACAGCGAGGCCCTGCCGGCTCGCGAGATGGACCCCTTCCACTTCCTCATGCACCACATGGAAGACATGATGACGACGGCCTTTGCCCACCGCAGCGACGCCGAGAAGTGGGCCGCTCAAGGGCGTGTCATTACGCCGTACGCTCAAGGACTCATCGACGCTCAGCAGGCGTTGGCCCCGAGGTACAAGGTCTACGAGAGTACCTCGACGCGTGCATACGTCAAGGATCCAGACGCCTACGCCTCTGCCAAGCGCCGAGTCGATCTCAGCTCTCGGTCGTGCACGTGCGGGTACATGAAGCAGATGGGCTTGCCGTGTCGGCACTACATTCGTGCCCTCATGGCGTTTGGGCGGATGCCCGAGCTCTACGACGCATGTGCGGTGTGTTACCAAGTCTCTGCCATCAACACGACATGGACCTCGGTTGCCGGTATCGAGCTGCCCATTGCCGAGGAGCTACAACGCGACAACACCATGATGCCACCTCCTCGCCAGAAGAAGGCTGGCCGCCCGAAGAAGCGTCGGATTCGCAACCGTGGCGAAGGTGGCCCATTGGGCCTCACGCGGTGCTCCTTCTGTCGCGCCAAGGGCCACAACAAGTGCTCTTGCCCGTCGAAGTAGTTATATATATGTAACAAACATGTTTTGTTCTAAGTGTGCAGCACCATACTTCTCGACGCAAACACTATCTACCGTTGTTCTACTGTAGTAGGTGTAGCATGCAAGCTGGCACACTGTACCAGTATACAAATGGCAAGTTCGTGTATGTTCGCGAGCTGAAAGTGTTACTGTAGTTGCAAGCTGGCACACTGTGCCAGTATACAAACGGCAAGTAAGCGAGCTGGCACACTGTGCCAGTATGCAAACGGGAAGTTTGTGGTGCAAGGTATGGAACATGAGCCACGAGAAACATCATTTGGAACGCTCTAAATCTGTGGCGACATATGGATGAATAACGCAAGGACCTAAACGTGTACAAAATGATACATTAAATCGTACACCTTCCTCACCCAGTTTTGACATTTGTCCACATTGAACATCACCCAGTTTTGTCATATCAAAAAGCACCACCCTGTTTTGCCTGTCGTTTTCCAAGACCACCCAGTTTTGACATTTGGGATCCAGTTTTGTCGGCAAAAGTTAAAAACCACCCAGTTTTGACATTTTCCCCAGCGACACCACAACCACCACCGCAAACACCACCACCACAACCACACAACAACAACAACAACCGCCATTCGCCACTAAGTGGCGGTGACGTCACCACGACGCTTGTGCCAGGCCATGTGCACCTTGAGGCTGCCACGTGAAGTGTCGAACGCCCGCTGGCAGGAGGTCACGGGGCAGACCCAGCAGGTGCCACGGGTCGACTGACCGAGATGACCAACAACCACCACAACCACCACCACCACAACAACCACCACAAAAACAACCACCACCACAACAACCACCACAATCACCACCACTACCACCACCACAACCACCACCACTACAACCACCACCACCACAACAACCACCACAACAACAACCACCACCACTACCACCACCACAACCACCACAACAACAACCACTACCACCACCACAACCACCACCACCACAACAACCACCACCACAACAACCACCACCACCACAATCACCACCACTACAGCACCACTACACTACAACAGCCCACAGACACACCACAACAACAACCACCACCACTACCACCACCACAACCACCACAACAATCACCACATCCACCACCACAACAACAACAACCACCACCACAACAACAACCACCACAACCACAAGACGAGTGAGCGAGTGAGAGGAGCCGTACGACAGATGGAGTCGGAGCAGCAGGAGGCGTCTCGTGGCACCGGCAGAGGCTGCGCTTCTGACCGCACCACGTGGTCGGGTAGAGGGCGTGGCTATGACGTCAGGGGGAGGGCGTGGTCATGACGTAGTAGGGGGGAGGGCGTGGTCATGACGTAGTAGGGGGGAGGGCGTGGTCATGACGTAGGGTAGAGGGCGTGGCTATGACGTAGGGGGGAGGGCGTGGTCAATACGTATTAGGGGGGAGGGCGTGGTCATGACGTAGGGTAGAGGGCGTGGTCATGACGTAGTAGGGGGGAGGGCGTGGTCATGACGTAGGGTAGAGGGCGTGGCTATGACGTAGGGGGGAGGGCGTGGTCATGACGTAGGGTTGAGGGCGTGGTCATGGCGTAGTAGGGGGGAGGGGCCTTCTGGGTAGAGGGCGTGGTCATGACGTAGGGTGAGGGCGTGGTCATGACGTAGGATAGAGGGCGTGGTCATGACGTAGGGGGGAGGGGCTTGGTGGGTAGAGGGCGTGGCTATGACGTCAGGGGGAGGGTCCAGTGGATAGAGGGCGTGGTCATGACGCCAGGGGGGAGGGGCCAGTGGGTAAAGGGCGTGGCTATGACGTCAGGGGGAGGGGCCAGTGGGTAGAGGGCGTGGCTATGACGTCAGGGGGAGGGGCCAGTGGGTAGAGGGCGTGGTCATGACGTAGGGGGGAGGGGCCAGTGGGTAGAGGGCGTGGCTATGACGTAGGGGGAGGGGCTTAGTGGGTAGAGGGCGTGGCTATGACGTCAGGGGGGAGGGGCCTAGTGGGTAGAGGGCGTGGCTATGACGTGGGGGGGAGGGGCCTAGTGGGTAGCGGGCGTGGCTATGACGTAGGGGGGGGGCCTGGTGGTAGAGGGCGTGGCTATGACGTCAGGGGGAGGGGCCAGTGGGTAGAGGGCGTGGCTAAGGGGCCAGTGGGTAGAGGGCGTGGCTATGACGTCAGGGGGAGGGGCCAGTGGGTAGAGGGCGTGGCTAAGGGGCCAGTGGGTAGAGGGCGTGGCTATGACGTAGTGGAGGGGAGGGGCCTGGTGGGTAGAGGGCGTGGCTATGACGCCAGGGGGAGGGGCCTAGTGGGTAGAGGGCGTGGCTATGACGTCAGGAGGGAGGGGCCGGAGGCCGCAGCTCGCGCGCCCATTGGTTGAAGGGGCGGGGCGAATCTGTGACGTCATCGCCGCTCACATCCGGTTTAACGGACGTCTTCCGGAAGCGGTAGAACAACTGAGAAAAAACGGACGGAAGACGTCTTCCGGAAGAGGTAGCCTCAGTCTGGCTCTGTGAGCCTCAGTGATTAACACTGAACCCTGTGGGAGCCTCAGTCTGGCTCTGTGAGTCTCAGTGATTAACACTGAACCCTGTGGGAGCCTCAGTCTGGCTCTGTGAGTCTCAGTGATTAACACTGAACCCTGTGGGAGCCTCAGTCTGGCTCTGTGAGCCTCAGTGATTAACACTGAACCCTGTGGGAGCCTCAGTCTGGCTCTGTGAGCCTCAGTGATTAACACTGAACCCTGTGGGAGCCTTAGTCTGGCTCTGTGAGCCTCTGTGATTAACACTGAACCCTGTGGGAGCCTTAGTCTGGCTCTGTGAGCCTCAGTGATTAACACTGAACCCTGTGGGAGCCTCAGTCTGGCTCTGTGAGTCTCAGTGATTAACACTGAACCCTGTGGGAGCCTTAGTCTGGCTCTGTGAGCCTCAGTGATTAACACTGAACCCTGTGGGAGCCTTGGTCTGGCTCTGTGAGCCTCAGTGATTAACACTGAACCCTGTGAGAGCCTTAGTCTGGCTCTGTGAGTCTCAGTGGATTAACACTGAACCCTGTAGGGAGCCTTAGTCTTGGCTCTTTGAGTCCTCAGTGGATTAACACTGACACCCTGTGGGAGCCTTAGTCTGGCTCTGTGAGGTCTCAGTGATGAACAACTGACCCCTGTGAGAGCCTTAGTCCTGGCTAGCTGTGAGTCTCAGGATTACCACTGACCCTGTGGAGCCTTAGTCTGGGCCTGTGAGCTCAGTGATTACACTGAACACTGTGGGAGTCTCAGTCGGGATCTGTGACCTCGTGATTAACACTGAACCTGTGGATCCTCAGTCTGGCTCTGTGAGCCTCAGTGATTAACACTGAACCCTGTGGGGCTTAGTCTGGTCTGTGAGCATCCAGTTGATTAAACACTGAACCTGTGGGAGCCTCAGTAATCAACACTGAACCCTGTGCGAGCTTAGTGCTCTGGAGTCTCAGTGATTAACACTGAACCCTGTGGGAGCCTCAGTGATCAACACTGAACCCTGTGGGAGCCTTAGTCTGGCTCTGTGAGTCTCAGTGATTAACACTGAATCCTGTGGGAGCCTTAGTCTGGCTCTGTGAGCCTCAGTGATTAACACTGAACCCTGTGGGAGCCTTAGTCTGGCTCTGTGAGCCTCAGTGATTAACACTGAACCCTGTGGGAGCCTTAGTCTGGCTCTGTGAGCCTCAGTGATTAACACTGAACCCTGTGGGAGCCTTAGTCTGGCTCTGTGAGCCTCAGTGATTAACACTGAACCCTGTGGGAGCCTTAGTCTGGCTCTGTGAGCCTCAGTGATTAACACTGAACCCTGTGGGAGCCTTAGTCTGGCTCTGTGAGCCTCAGTGATTAACACTGAACCCTGTGGGAGCCTTAGTCTGGCTCTGTGAGCCTCAGTGATTAACACTGAATCCTGTGGGAGCCTTAGTCTGGCTCTGTGAGCCTCAGTGATTAACACTGACCCTGTGGGAGCCTTAGTCTGGCTCTGTGAGCCTCAGTGATTAACACTGAACCCTGTGGGAGCCTTAGTCTGGCTCTGTGAGCCTCAGTGATTAACACTGAACCCTGTGGGAGCCTTAGTCTGGCTCTGTGAGCCTCAGTGATTAACACTGAACCCTGTGGGAGCCTTAGTCTGGCTCTGTGAGCCTCAGTGATTAACACTGAACCCTATGGGAGCCTTAGTCTGGCTCTGTGAGCCTCAGTGATTAACACTGAACCCTGTGGGAGCCTTAGTCTGGCTCTGTGAGCCTCAGTGATTAACACTGAACCCTGTGGGAGCCTTAGTCTGGCTCTGTGAGCCTCAGTGATTAACACTGAACCCTGTGGGAGCCTTAGGCTGGCTCTGTGAGCCTCAGTGATTAACACTGAACCCTGTGGGAGTCTTGGTCTGGCTCTGTGAGCCTCAGTGATTAACACTGAACCCTGTGGGAGCCTTAGTCTGGCTCTGTGACCCTCAGTGATTAACACTGAACCCTGTGGGAGCCTTAGTCTGGCTCTGTGACCCTCAGTGATTAACACTGAACCCTGTGGGAGCCTTAGTCTGGCTGTGAGCCTCAGTGATTAACACTGAACCACTATGGGAGCCTTAGTCTGGCTCTGTGAGCCTCAGTGATTAACACTGAATCCTGTGGGAGCCTTAGTCTGGCTCTGAGCCTCAGTGATTAACACTGAACCCTGTGGGAGCCTTAGTCTGGCTGTGAGCCTCAGTGATTAACACTGAACCACTATGGGAGCCTTAGTCTGGCTCTGTGAGCCTCAGTGATTAACACTGAATCCTGTGGGAGCCTTAGTCTGGCTCTGAGCCTCAGTGATTGTACTGTACGCGTTGTGCACCACGAGGGAGATGAAACCGAGAATTTCGAACTCTGTCAGAGGGAGACGGAGGAGACGAGTTTTTATTATTTTTTTGTAAGTTTCTGACGTAACGACACAACAAGGCAACACTCCCTCCCTGTTATAAACTATAGCATCATCATCACCCATCATTGTTATAATCACCACCACCAATTTTGATCATCATCACCACCATCATTATCGTCACCAACACCACCACCATCATCATCACCACCATCATCACCACCATCATCATCACCATCACCACCACCATCATCACCACCACCACCACCACCATCATCATCACCACCATCATCATCACCACTATCATCATCACCACTATCATCATCACCACTATCATCATCACCACTATCATCATCACCACCACCACCATCACCACCACCACCACCACCACCATCATCACCACCACCACCATCATCACCATCATCACCACCACCATCATCACCACCACCACCATCATCATCATTACCACCACCACCATCACCACCATCACCACCATCACCACCATCATCATCATCATCACCACCATCATCATCATCACCACCATCATCACCACCACCACCATCATCATCATCACCATCATCATCACCACCATCATCATCACCACCATCATCATCACCACCACCATCACCACCACAATCATCATTACCACAATCATCATTACCACCATCATCACCCCCATCAACATCATTATCGTCGTCATTATCAATCTTAAAATCTATACATCTGTGTCAAAAAAGGCATTTCGAGAAATCTTATTCGGTAAAGTATCATCATCATCATCGTCATCATTGTCATCACCATGATTGAGTACAAACAGTTTAGTGTCTCTGTGGGTGTCTCTGTGGTGTCTGTCCCACACAGGAGACAGTGCTGCTGGTTTAGCTGCTAATATTAAGCAATATTTATTACTCTAATTAAACATTACACACTCACACTCACCTACACACTCACTCACCTACTCACTCACCTACTCACCCACTCACTCACCTACTCACTCACCTACTCACCGACTCTCACCGACTCACTCACCGACTCACTCACCCACTCACTCACCCACTCACTCACCCACTCACTCACCCACTCACTCACCTCACCCCACCCTCCTCACCCCACCTGTGTAGTGTAGTGTGTGGTGTGTGTAGTGTAGTGTGTGTGGTGGGTGTGTGGTGGGTGTAGTGTGTGTGTATGTAGTGTGTGTATGTAGTGTGTGTATGTAGTGTGTGTATGTATGCAGTGTGTGGTGTGTAGTGTGTGGTGTGTGTAGTGTGTGTGGTGTGTAGTGTGTGTAGTGTGTGGTGTAGTGTGGTGTGGTGTAGTGTGGTGTGTAGTGTAGTGTGTGTGTGTAGTGTGTGTGTAGGTGTAGTGTGGTGTGTAGTGTAGTGTGTGTGTAGTGTGTGTGTAGGTGTAGTGTGTGTGTAGGTGTAGTGTGTGTGTAGTGTGTGTGTAGTGTGTGTAGGTGTAGTGTAGTGTGTGGTGTGTGTGGTGTAGTATGTGTGTAGTGTGGTGTGTGCAGTGTGTGTAGTGTAGTGTGTGGTGTAGTGTGTTTGTAGTATGTATGGTGTAGTGTGTGAGGGTGTAGTGTGTGTAGGTGTAGTGTGTTTGTAGTATGTGTGGTGTAGTGTGTGTGGTGTGTGTGTGTGGTGTGTGTGTAGGTGTAGTGTGTGGTGTAGTATGTGTGTAGTGTGGTGTGTGCAGTGGTAAACGCATCGCTAGCACTGGGGACTGGAGGAGACAAAGGCGGTCGGGCGTGGTTCTGGCCACCCACCCCCTGTGTGTGGCCACAGCACTTGCCCCTACATTACTGCTAGAGGCTACCTGGGGGATCTTTGTCTCTATAGGCGCTGCTGCTGCTACTGACAGCACTTGCCCCTACAGCACTGCTAGAGGCTACCCGGGGGAGCTTTGTCTGTGTGCACGTGAGTGTGGTGAGCAGAGTGGTGAGGGTGGTGAGGTGGTGAGGCATAGGGTGGTGAGAGTGGTGAGGGTGGTGGGGGTGGTGAGGGTGGTGAGACATGGGGTGGTGAGGGTGGTGAGCGTAGTGAGGCATGGGGTGGTGAGGGTGGTGAGGCATGGGGTGGTGAGGGTGGTGGGGGTGGTGAGGGTGGTGAGGCTGGTGAGGCATGGGGTGGTGAGGGTGGTGAGGGTGGTGAGGGTGGTGGGGTGGTGGGGTGGTGGTGAGGGTGGTGAGGGTGGTGGGGTGGTGATGGTGGTGAGGGTGGTGAGGCATGGAGTGGTGAGGGTGGTGAGGCATGGAGTGGTGAGGGTGGTGAGGCATGGGGTGGTGAGGGTGGTGAGGCATGGGGTGGTGAGGGTGGTGAGGCATGGGGTGGTGAGGGTGGTGAGGCATGGGGTGGTGAGGGTGGTGAGGCATGGGGTGGTGAGGGTGGTGAGGCATGGGGTGGTGAGGGTGGTGAGGCATGGGGTGGTGAGGATGGTGAGGAATGGGGTGGTGAGGGTGGTGAGGCATGCGGTGGTGAGGGTGGTGAGGCATGGGGTGGTGAGGGTGATGAGGGTGGTGAGGTGGTGAGGGTGGTGAGGCATGGGGTGGTGAGGGTGATGAGGGTGGTGAGGTGGTGAGGGTGGTGAGGCATGGGGTGGTGAGGCATGGGGTGGTGAGGGTGGTGAGGCATGCAGTGGTGAGGGTGGTGAGGCATGGGGTGGTGAGGGTGATGAGGGTGGTGAGGTGGTGAGGGTGGTGAGGCATGGGGTGGTGAGGGTGGTGAGGCATGCGGTGGTGAGGGTGGTGAGGCATGGGGTGGTGAGGGTGATGAGGGTGGTGAGGTGGTGAGGGTGGTGAGGCATGGGGTGGTGAGGCATGGGGTGGTGAGGCATGCGGTGGTGAGGGTGGTGAGGCATGGGGTGGTGAGGGTGATGAGGGTGGTGAGGTGGTGAGGGTGGTGAGGCATGGGGTGGTGAGGCATGGGGTGGTGAGGGTGGTGAGGCATGGGGTGGTGAGGGTGGTGAGGGTGGTGAGGGTGGTGAGGCATGGGGTGGTGAGGGTGGTGAGGCATGGGGTGGTGAGGGTGGTGAGGCATGGGGTGGTGGAGTTTTTATTAGAAATGGATCCAAAATCGAAATCTTTACGGGGTTCAAAGGAGGGGGGGTGAGGGGGTGGGGGCGAGGGGGGGGTGAGGGGGGGGTGAGGGGGTGGGGGCGAGGGGGGGGTGAGGGGGGGGTGAGGGGGTGGGGGGGGTGAGGGGGTGGGGGGGATGAGGGGGTGGGGGCGAGGGGGGGGTGAGGGGGTGGGGGCCCTGGCAGCCCCCCCCTCACTCATCAGCAGCGGCGGTCGTCCCACGCACAGTGCCACGCTGCCGGATCTGGGAACGCAAGGAGGGAGGGGGGATGAGCGTGTGGGTGAGTGTGTGGGTGAGCGTGTGAGTGAGTGTGCGGGTGAGCGTGTGGGTGAGTGTGTGGGTGAGTGTGTGGGTGAGCGTGTGTGTGGGTGGGTGAGTGTGTGGGTGAGCGTGTGGGTGAGTGTGTGGGTGAGCGTGTGTGTGGGTAGGTGAGCGTGTGGGTGAGTGTGTGGGTGAGTGTGTGGGTGAGCGTGTGTGTGGGTGGGTGAGCGTGTGGGTGAGTGTGTGGGTGAGCGTGTGGGTGAGTGTGTGGGTGAGCGTGTGTGTGGGTAGGTCAGCGTGTGGGTGAGTGTGTGGGTGGGCGTGTGGGTGGGTGTGTGGGTCAGTGAGTGAGTGGGTGAGCGTGTGGGCGAGCGTGTGGGCGAGCGTGTGGGTGGGCGTGTGGGTGAGCGTGTGGGTGAGCGTGTGGGTGAGCGTGTGGGTGAGTGTGTGTGTGGGTGGGTGAGCGTTGTGGGTGGGTGAGCGTGTGGGTGGGTGAGCGTGTGGGTGGGTGAGCGTGTGGGTGAGCGAGTGGGTGAGTGAGTGGGTGAGTGAGTGGGTGAGTGAGTGGGTGAGCGTGTGGGTGAGCGTGTGGGTGAGCGAGTGGGTGAGTGTGTGGGTGAGCGTGTGGGTGGGCGAGTGTGTGGGTGAGCGTGTGTGTGGGTGGGTGAGCGTGTGGGTGAGTGTGTGGGTGAGCGTGTGGGTGAGTGTGTGGGTGAGCGTGTGTGTGGGTGGGTGAGCGTGTGGGTGAGTGTGTGGGTGAGCGTGTGTGTGGGTAGGTGAGCGTGTGGGTGAGTGTGTGGGTGGGCGTGTGGGTGGGTGTGTGGGTCAGTGAGTGAGTAGGTGAGCGTGTGGGCGGGCGTGTGGGCGGGCGTGTGGGTGAGCGTGTGGGTGAGTGTGTGTGTGGGTGGGTGAGCGTGTGGGTGGGTGAGCGTGTGGGTGAGCGAGTGAGTGAGTGGGTGAGTGAGCGTGCGGGTGAGTGAGTGGGTGAGCGTGTGGGTGGGCGTGTGGGTGAGCGTGTGGGTGAGCGAGTGGATGAGTGTGTGGGTGAGCGTGTGGGTGGGCGAGTGTGTGGGTGAGTGTGTGGGTGAGTGAGCGTGTGGGTGGGTGAGCGTGTGGGTGGGTGAGCGTGTGGGTGGGTGAGCGTGTGGGGTGAGCGAGTGGGTGAGTGAGTGGGTGAGTGAGCGTGCGGGTGAGTGAGTGGGTGAGCGTGTGGGTGGGCGTGTGGGTGAGCGTGTGGGTGAGCGAGTGGGTGAGTGTGTGGGTGAGCGTGTGGGTGGGCGAGTGTGTGGGTGAGTGTGTGGGTGAGTGAGCGTTTGGGTGGGTGAGCGTGTGGGTGGGTGAGCGTGTGGGTGGGTGAGCGTGTGGGTGGGTGAGCGTGTGGGTGGGTGAGCGTGTGAGTGGGTGAGCGAGTGGGTGGGTGTGTGGGTGAGCGTGTGTGTGAGTGGGTGTGTGGGTGAGCGTGCGGGCGAGCGTGTGGGTGAGCGTGTGGGCGAGCGTGCGGGTGAGCGTGTGGGTGAGTCAGCGTGCGGGTGAGCGTGCGGGCGAGCGTGTGGGTGAGTGTGTGGGTGAGCGAGTGGGTGAGCGTGCGGGCGAGCGCGTGGGTGAGCGAGTGGGTGAGCGTGCGGGTGAGCGTGCGGGTGAGCGTGCGGGTGAGCGAGTGGGTGAGCGTGCGGGTGAGCGTGCGGGTGAGCGTGTGGGTGAGCAAGTGGGTGAGCGTGTGGGTGAGCGAGTGGGTGAGCGTGTGGGTGAGCGAGTGGGTGAGCGTGTGAGCGAGTCAGCGTGCGGGTGAGCATGCGGGTGAGCGAGTGGGTGAGCGAGTGGGTGAGCGAGCGGGTGATTGAGCGGGTGAGCGTGCGGGCAAGCGTGCGGGCGAGCGTGCGAGTCAGCGTGTGAGTCAGCATGCGGGTGAGCGAGCGGGTGAGTGAGCGAGCGGGTGAGCGAGCGAGTGGGTGAGCGAGTGGGTGAGCGTGCGAGTCAGCGTGTGGGTGAGTGAGCGAGTGGGTGAGCGTGCGAGTCAGCATGTGGGTGGGTGAGCATGTGGGTGAGCGAGCGGGTGAGCGTGTGGGTGAGCAAGCGGGTGAGCGTGTGGGTGAGCGTGGAGTCCACCTCATCGAGCTCCTTCTGCGTCTCGTCCTCCATGCGCCGAATGTCCTCCATGGTGAGCTCCACCCAGCGGTCAAGCCAGCAGAACAGCTGGCGGTGGAAGTTGGTGAAGATTCGGCGTTCCTGCTACTCACAACAACAACAACATCAACAACAACATCAACAACATCATCATCATCAACATCATCCACATCATCAACATCATCATCAACATCAATACCACCACCAGCACCATCATCAACAACAACATCAACAACAACATCAACAACATCATCATCATCAACATCATCCACATCATCAACATCATCATCAACATCAATACCACCACCAGCACCATCATCAATAACAACATCAACAACATCAACAACAACATCATCAACATCATCATCAACAACATCATCATCAACACCATCACCATCAATACCACCACCAGCACCATCAACAACAACATCATCAACATCATCAACATCACCACCATCAACATCAATACCACCACCAGCACCACCATCAACATCATCAACAACATCAACACCAGCAGAACAGCTGGCGGTGGAAGTTGGTGAAGATTCGGCGTTCCTGCTACTCACAACAACAACATCAACAACATCAACACCATCATCATCAACATCATCAACAACATCAATACCACCACCAGCACCATCATCAACAACAACAACAACACCATCAACACCATCATCATCAACATCATCAACAACATCAATACCACCACCAGCACCATCATCAACACCATCAACAACACCATCAACACCATCAACAACAACATCAACAACATCAACATCAACAACATCAACATCATCATCAACAACAACATCAACAACAACATCAACAACAACATCAACAACAACATCAACATCATCATCAACAACATCAACAACATCAACAACATCTACAACAACATCTACAACAACATCTACAACAACATCAACAACATCAACATCATCAACAACAACATCATCAACA